ACACACACACACACATCACGAGGCTACAATTTATCCACTCACATCACGAGGCTACAATTTATCCACTCAAATCTAAGTACCTAAATCTTGTTAGTAAAGTATGGAGTTCTTCTGTCAATTAGACAAGATAGGATAGTTTCGTATCACAGCAGGATTTAATGGTATGGTCTCACATTGCCATTCGTCCCTACAATGAGCTTAGGTGTTGATGTTGCTCAAGTGCCTAGGACTGGATGAAAGGACAATATTAAGAGATAAACAGAAGTTGAAACATTGTCTACTGTTCTATCCAGTCCCGTCCAGAATTGTGTAATAAACGTGCTCATAATGTCTTTTATCTAATGACTCCACCTAAAGAAAGAGAAAATAACTCCCTAAATGGTACTTTCTGCTTAGAGAAATCAAGATTTACAGCAAAGATTGGCCAGCAGGCTATCTAGCAGAATGTCATCTGTGACGCATTGTAATATCGTTCCACAACATTTTCTGCACAGTATCAAGAACTAAATAAAAACAATTTGTCCCGAGTTAGAAGATTAAGTAAAGACTCACAATAATTGCTCGGCCAAATGCTCCAGCACTCACATAGGCCCATGTCCCCGGAAGCATACCTAACCAACTGCAAAAGCGAATACATCAGAACAAAGAGCCAATTTAACAGTGAACATTTCATCAAATAGTAAAGTTCTCCAGCAATATCAGGCCAGCATATGCATCTCTATAATTTTATCAACCCAATATCTCATACAATATGCGCATCAACTTAATAAATACTATGGTTTCATAGTGGTAAAGAATTTTCATTTTTGTCGGTTTAAGAGCAAAATGTAAGAAAGACTTTTACTCATTAATACCAAAATAATTGCAGCCATCTAGGCTAATGTTTTGGTCAAATTAGACTAGATGATCGCCTAGTACTCAATGGTTTTATATTGTGTCTGCTAGATTGCTAGTCAGTAGTCATCTGTAAACATACAAGTTATCTGGAAATTAACGGTGCTTCACGACGTTAGGAAATTTTGGAAAACGATCAGAACTTAGATACACATCGTCGCTTTGAATCAGAGATGAATAGTTGCTCACACTCAAAGCATGCAAAACAATCTCTCAGAACTTCAGTAATCTCCACTCATTTCTATACTTAAACAAGAAAGAAACTATGGTTTGGATACTTATAAATTACAAAAGGACGTAAAAAGTAAATACATTTCAATCTAAAATGAAAAGAAAGAGAAGAATGTCTAAATAAATTGGTCAAACTATGAGGAAAAGAAAGCAATTCTATCACAGCATATGCAACAGGAAAGCCAATTATTCTGAAAGCAATTAATATAGCAAAGTTTGGTGCCGACCTTCCTAACACATACGGTACAAATTTAACAGAAGTAAGCCCATATAAATAATTTCCAAGCGAAAATGGAAGCAACGGACTCAAACGGAGAAGAGTAACAACTCTGAAACCATTTTCCCCAATAGCTTTGTCTATTGCAAGGAATTTCTTGTTCCCTTCAACTAGCTTAAGAATACGCTCACGGGCAAAATATCTGGCAATTAGAAATGCAACACTGGCTGCCACCTGAAAGTGGGAGGTAAAAAGAACTTCAAGTTATATTGGACAAACTAGACAATATGGTAAACAAAATTTTAGCTTCTTTTCTTGTTTAATACTATTGAGACAGCGATAGTCTTACCGTTCCACTGATAGAGACAATGATAGTTCCAGTAATCGACCCAAAAAGAAGACCAGCGGACATAGTCAATGGGATGGCTGGTATTGCGAGTACCTGCAGCACACATTGTAATTTCCAGTAATGCAAAAAAATTGAATATCATCATTGCTTACTCATAAATTGTCATTTAAAAGAAGTGCATTGATTAACGAATAGAATTATTGTTTGCAAACCATGACAATGCCAAGGATGATAAAATATGCTCAAGAAAGAAAGTTATAATCTTGCCTCTAATCCAGCATAGACTGCCACGAAAAGCGCATATCCAGCTGGCCCATAACCTGCAAATGACGAGCTTTAGTGAAATTCAAGTAATAAGTTATGCATTTCTCATAGACATAAGAAAGGAACATATTATTCCATGAATCTGTCGAAAATGGGCAGAGTTACACTAGAAAAAACTGGCTGAACATTATAATTAGTGTAGTATCATCTTATGGCACCATATATAATATCACATAATTTCATAATTGATGGTGTGAGAATATCTATAGGCATTGAACTAGGAAAGCAGTATCCCAAAAGCGGATAACCGTGCTAATAGTCAGCATTAAGGCTTTTTCAAGCAAAACAATTGAATGATTTATTGATAATAAGCTATGGTTCATCACCAGCTTTGAACACAGTTATCAGTTATCCATATCAATTACAAATATATGCAAGTATCTAATTCTGTCACAGAAAATCTTCTACAAAACATAAAAGGAGCAATCTGAAAGGGGAATGACCTAAAATTTATGACGGAGAGCTATCATAAAGAGATTGAAAAGTAATGATGATACTGAAACATGAATTGGAAAATGAGGTTCCATTTACCATAAAGGAGAATCTCAGGATCTGATTTGGACTTTGGTGAATAAAGGAGAATCCAGACAAGGAATAGAGACTAAATATTAAGTGCTTCACAGTTTTTACTCTAGACAGAAAATTGACCTCAAACTTCTCCAAGAATCATATGCTGCTAAAAAGTTTTCTCATCCCGACCCCCAAAACACAATTTGGGTTCAAAATCCAGCCTCAGTGGTATTTCAACTAATAAAAGATTAAACCAAATAAACCTGCATCAAGATAACTCTCAAGAATGACAAGTAAAAACCAGACCATATATCCCAAATCACTAAAATGGATCCATCTGATGGGAAGCGAAGGATCACCCAAGAAGCTGGGACATGGTCAATCAGAAACTATTGCTGTCGCCAATGAACTTAAGTTATCACCAGAAACATACTGCCCAAAACCCACTTCGGAGATCAACTTCTACTAAAATTCTTCACTGTAACCAATATTTTAGCTTCAATTATTTGAGCTATGGTAGCTTCCATGGCAAAAAGAAGCCTTTTTTGTTTCTCCTTTTCAATTTAAAACAAATTCCTCTTTCAAGAAAGGCCAAAAATATGTTGTCAAACGATAAATCTTGTAAACTATCAAAGTGAGTAAATGGGCAAGAATTAACCTTCAATGAAGCCTGAAAACTGGGTCAAGAAAGCATTGATCTGGTCCCTATAAATGTAACCCACAGTCCCGAACCCACCAACGACTCCGACAAGCAAAAGTCCAGCCAAGATTGTGCCTTTAACAGCAGTGTCACCACCAGTGGTGTCCCCATCAGTATTATCATCATTTTCACCTTTTGGGTTCAAATTCAAGAACCTCCTGATGCTTTGAGGTGCATTGCTGGGAGTCTTAGAAAGGGTCTGCTGTTTCTTGGTTTCTCTGAGTGAAGAGCATGGCTTCAGAAAATGGAAGCGTTTGGGCTTGAAACTGAAGAGTGAGAAGTGAAAGTTTGGTCTTTGTTGGAGACTCGATGAACAGGGGGAGGAGAGGCTGAGGCAAAGTGGAATTGGTGGTGGTGTTTTAATTAAAGGAATGGTGGGCATTTTTTGTTTGAAGTGTTGAACTCAGCTTTGATGAAAAAGAAGCTACTCAATGCTTTCTCGATTGTGCCATGAATATTGTAGAATCTACTGTTAGTATTCAATGATTCTTGTTATATTTTCTGATTTTTTGTGCAAGGAGTGTTGGGGTGGCGTTGATGAATTTGAGGTAGTAACGGAGAGGACTTGACCATAGAATCCACAAGGACAGGGATACTAGAAATTGTGCTTCATATTGAAGCACGTGGAGATGTAACTCGGATTTTCTTTTATCTTCCATTTCCGAGGATTGATTATATTTTTCATTGAAAAATTGCAGCATTAGTCACCAAAGATTGGCCATTTTGTTCTTATAATTTTGAGTATGGAAATAACCTCTCAGTTTTGTAACAATCGTATTCCTTTGTCAACTTATACGGTTTAAACTATGAATAGAAAATTTATTAAAGAAAAAAATTGAAGCATCTATAAACACGACTAACTCTAACCCACAAGCAATGCCATCACAACCACTGTAGTTGACATCCCCACCCGCCAACAACCAATGCCCAACTCCCAGTAGCCCAAAACTTGTGATCCCACACCCCCAAACTATTGTGATGTTTGTGAAAACATAAGCAAAAGAGCAATATGTAAAATGTGCTTGCATGCTTCTAACGGAAATTTGAAGTTGTAAAACTTACTTGAAATCGCTAAAACAAGGTTGAATCACTTGCCTTTCGTTTGCTTGTCCCCTAGACTATCTTGTACTCACTCCTTGGTCGAAAATTCGATCACAGAGAAAGGAATTTTTTAGCCACAATCCAAGAACCAATTTAAAGATAATATTCTTCCAAAATCAAGCCACAACCCTCATAAATTTTTGTCTCTGTGTTTTCCATACGAATTTTGTATATTTCTTTCATACTTTTTGTTGTGGAAGTTGTGAGTCGTGGGAAGTTGAGTTTTAAATTCAATTTTCCCAACTTTCTCATCTTCTACCTCCAATAACACTCTCATATAATTTGTGTCGGGTCAACCCACATGGTCGACCCCATTTAATTCCAACATTTCCGACTCTCACATGATGAATTTGACATGATTCTAATATAATATCAATTATATTTATCTCAACATCTCTAAATTCGTACTGATAAATGGATTGTCTGATCAGCGAATTAATTTAAGAGCGTACAATACTATATACCTGTTAGGGATATATAGCATCTCTACTAGAGGAAATATTTTTCTCTCTATACCCTAAACATATTTTCTAACACCGGATTGAGCATTTTTGACCCCTCAATTTATATTGGAACATACTTTCAACTTTCTCATTTATATTGTATTCACAATATTGTCACAAATTCAAATAATTAACACAATTGTTCGGTTGGTGAATATAAGTTGAGATGTTAGATAAAATAGTTTTTCCTTTCCTACTTGAATCCCTTCATTTCAAGCGAGTTGCTTTCTTAGACATATCA